GTTTGTGAGAATATTGTACAGCATTATACAAAGATACTAAAACTAGCTTTATCTCATTTTTTCCAAAATTGAACTTATACTATTTGAGAAAAAAAAAGAACATTCTTGCAGTAATATTTAACAGTTGAATTTCTTTTGATGAGTTTGTGAGAATATTGTACAGCATTATACAAAGATACTAAAACTAGCTTTATTTCATTTCTTCCAAAATTGAACTTATACTACTTAAGAAAAAAAAAAAGAACATTCTTGCAGTAATATTTAACAGTTGAATTTCTTTTGGCCAATTTCTGAGAATATTATACAGCATTGTACAAAGATACTAAAACTTTATCTCATTCTTTCCAAAATTAAACTTATACTACTTGAGAAAAAAAAAAAGAAAAAGAACATTCTTGCAGTAATATTTAACAGTTGAATTTCTTTTGATGAGTTTGTGAGAATATTGTACAGCATTATACAAAGATACTAAAACTAGCTTTATCTCATTTTTTCCAAAATTGAACTTATACTACTTAAGAAAAGAAAAAAAAAGAACATTCTTGCAGTAATATTTAACAGTTGAATTTATGAGGACAGTGTGCAGCATTGACTTTGTTATTAAACACCTTAATTCATTTTTGCTTTTGTTTTTCAAAATTGTACCATTTTCGCAAAGAAGAAAAAAAAAAGAAAAGGAAGGGAAAGAAGAAAAGCGGCTCGTGCATTTAAAAATAATATATTTCGGGAAATTCTTCCATATTAAGGAACCAAAAACATATTAAGCGCCTCTAGTATCATTCGGAGAGTTTCACATTAGCTGATAAGATTTTCCCGATTATTTCAGAGACGCAGAGTACAGTGAACCTCTGCTCAGTTTCAACATATTCGCGGAATTTATGAAGTAACAACCGAGATTAATCGAAAGATAAAAACGAATGTTGACTGACCGTTTGGAAAGTATAAATATAATTGCCGCCAGTAATCGAGTTTCCGCGATAGCCATCTGGCAATATCGATAAACTCTCGCCCCAGAAAATCATCAGTTGAAAGTAAATCCATTAGCCGATCCCTCGCAATAATTCAATAGTAAATTTCATCGGAGGACAACCGTGGAACGTTGAACCGGCATCCTCTTCTATCTTCTTCTTATTTCAAGATCGGTATCTGTATCGGGAAATTGATCCAGCATGCGGCGAAGCATCGTCATCGACGACATTCCACGCTGTTGTATACAAATTGCACTTGCGTGTTGCACGGCGAGAAGCGTGCGCGTAAACAGAGGATAAAGTTGCCGATCGCTGATAAATCGGAAGATTCAAAGATCCGTGCCTTTCTCTCTCTTTCTCTCGCCTGTTGAGATGCTCGAGAGGCATCTCATCGGTTCGTGTGTCTTCACCGTGGGCATACTAATCGACGTATATATAATTGCTGCCATTGCGATCCATTATCGTGATATTATTGAATAACTGGTTTCCCAACTCAAAGGATTGAATTCTGTCGACATAATGACGTGGGCATGCTGATGTGCCTGGAACCGGTGGAAACTCGGCACTCCTTTTCATACCCATCTTCTTCTGTTTCCTTTTTTGTTGAAAAATCTGATCTTCGATCTTCCTCTCTGTTTTTAATAGTAAAGAGGGAAAAAATCGATTTACTCAGCAAGTGAATTTTTGGAAATGTCGATGACCAAGTGTTTAGGTTAGGTTTAGGTTAGGATTTACTCAGCAAGTGAATTTCTGGGAATGTCGTCGATGACCAAGTGTTGATCCCTTGCCTCCTGTACGATCCGTGACACTCAATAGGTTGGTTCCCATGGCGCTCGATGACGTTCAACAGCATATGGGCTGCAAACAACACACGAATTATGCAACAGATGAAGAAGAAGGTTTACGCATTTCTTTTCTACGAATTGGACGTCAATTGGTTATAAAGCGCAGGGACATATCAACGTTCATCAATGAATGTCAATTTCCTGCTCTATTAATTACGTCGCTATTAATAGTTTTAGTTGTTAGGCTACAATCCAAAGTGCAACGATGCTGCTTGTGTATTCGATCGATCATTGAAATAATTGGAAAAATATTGGCGGATTTTTTAGTAGTTCAGCGAAACAAGCAAAATTGGAAAAAAAACTAGAAACTTGTTAAGAAAGTGAAAATTGATGAAAAAGATAAAATATAAATATAGAAAAAATATAAATATAAAGAGATGAAAACACACGATATAGAATATTGGAACTTATTTATCAACAAGAAAGTGAAAATTGATGGAAAAGATAAAATATAAATATAAAAAAAGATGAGAACACACGATATAGAATATTGAAACTTATTTATTATAAAAAGTGTATAAACTTATTTAATTTGTACAAACAAGAAAGTAAAAATTGATGAAAAAGATAAGATATAAATATAAAAAAAGGTGAAAACACACGATATAGGATATTGAAACTTATTTATCATAAAAAATGTAACTTATTCAATTGTAAACTTATTCAATTTGTACAAACTTATTTGAACTTTAAGAAACTGCGAAGAAAGAAAAGGAAAAGAAGATAAAGTTATAATTATATTAAAAAGATATTTTAAAAACATAAGCATTAATGAAAAAGATAAAAATATACAATGTTAAAATATTACAAAATATTTATATTAGAATTTATAGATAAATAGAAGAGAAATGTTGGAGACGTGAATGGTTCATTTAATAATGTCAAATTAAAGTGCAAGAAGCAAGATCCCTTGCTTCAAGGCGTGGATATTTAAATAAAAAGTATTTGAAATAGTAATTGAAGCACTCTTACTGAAATAAAATAACATTTGATAAATTTATTTCGTCTAACGAATGATGTACGAATTATTTATTTGTTTATTTCAAAGATAGTGAAAAAATATTTCATTAACTGAAATGATCACATCAAATAGCTATCTCAATGTGAGAAATACGATAATTGAAATACATTTCCTCTATATGTACTTGTAGAATCAAACTTCGAAATGATATTCCAATTGTTAGAAAAATAAATAATTACTTCGAATAAACACATGAAACGCTATGTAGAAAATAATCTCTACAAACATATTTCTATTTTGTCTGTAACACTTCTTACACAACGACTTATCCCAAAACCTACGATTCAGTACACGTATTTACGGGTGAAAATTATAGTCTTCTATATTAGAGATCCACTTTCCAATACCTGTAGTTAGAAAAAAACCTATAAATCGTAATTATCACGCGCAAGATGGCGTGAATTGCTCAATTAAGGTGTAACCTAACCTCAAACTCGGGACAAATGAATCGGACCCACGTCTTCCGAGGATTAAATAATTCTGGTTGTAAATTCTCTTCCTCTCTCTTTCTGAGCGTGAAATTCGGGCGTGATTACCGACACTTCTCGCACACACAGGAAACACATAATTATAGTTTCGGATGGGGAAGAAGCCGGCGCTTGAAGGAATATATGCCTCGACACCGCCTCCTAGAGCTACACACAGAGGCTGACGAAACGAGCTTCGGCTCCTATACTCGCGAGAGGTGGTCTTATTAGCGTAGAAATCGATGTTTGCACTGGCTCGATCGATAACGTGACGTTAGGGATTTTTTATACCGATCAATAGGTTGAAACAAGGCACTCGGCTCTCTCGTTCTTGTTTCTCTCTTCATCAACTTTCCGCCTCATCACCACTTGATGCGAAGCTTCTAATCACGTAGAACGAGGAACGGGGCTCAGAGATCGGCAAGCGAGATCGATTGTTATCGTCTTCATTGATTTACGGTTTTTCATCGTGTTGATTGCCTATCGCGTATGTGAATAAGAGTTCACGATTATCAGAAGCGACGCAGACGCAAGTTGATAAATTTCTAATTATTTCTTTTTTTCTTGTTTGCAATTTTTAATCGATTAGAAGAGCCTGCAAGAGATTTCTATCGTAAAGCGGAAATTATTTCTCTAATAATAACTTCATGTTCTCATTTCAAAAAATTGGAAATTATCGAGAAAATTAAATTTTTATAGTTTTGTTTTGTTTTGTTTTTTTTTTTTT